AAATGCTCTGTAACTTAAATCTTTCTTCTATACATAAAACTATCTTCCCCTTATTAAAAGTGAATGCAGATTAGCTGGATTTCACCTTAATTTTTATCTGCATTTTCCACAGGTATAGCAAAATGATTTTACTAAAAGCCACGTATTGAACCATGTCTAGCTGCTAATCCTGTTGAGTCGTTTTCTCTTCCACCTGTCTAGACTGTTAATAGGACTTAATTAAATAGTGGCTAGCACTGACAACAAATCTCCTACCGACGGGGCTTTATTAATGGAATTACGTAGCGCGTCTGCCAAATCAGAAGGCGGAGCTGGGGGAGCGCCCCTGTCCAGCCCGCGCTGCGGCTCGCTCACTCGGAGAGGAGCGGACCCCTGCATCAGCGGTCTGAGGGGCCGCAGGCCACAGCGCTGGCCGGACTGCAGGAATCGCTTCATTCTGTTTTGTGACTAAGCTTTAGAAAAACTTAGGTAACGTAGCCACATTTCAAGCAATTTAAATATTCGGTATGTAGCTCAAATCACTGAACCTTGATCCAATCTGAAAATGATTTTGGAGGACCTGTTTGTGGGTAGAATGGCGTAGTTTAATCAGTGAGAGCCGAAGCACGCTAGCTGGAGGTCAGAGGTCTGGTGCTGTGCGTCCTCAGGCCCGTGCGGTGTCTTGAATTGTTTTCCCAGATTAGAAACAAAGGTTCAGATGTTGGAGCGGTGGCCCCCGGACCCGTCCTCTGAAGCCCTGAAGACCTAGGCGTTCCCTGAGGTCGCCCTGGCGCGGGAGTGGGAATGCCGAGCGGACAGAGCCCCGAGCCCGGCGCCCCGGCTGGTTCGAGCAGGAGCTGCTCACTTTTATCAGTCAAACCGCCCAGCTGGACAGTGAAGTCCCTTTCAGGGTACAATTTCTGTGCTAAAGTAAGTTAGACCAAGTCATAGACCTGCTTGGGAGAAAAAGGCCTTCGAACAGTGAACATACAGGATAGAACATACATGCCACCGCCCCGCAGAAACGTAGTAAGTGTTGAGTATAAATTTGAGGCCGGGATAATAATAATATCAACTTCGTATGCAAGTAGTGAATACAAAGAAAGTTCATCAAGAAAAGAGAAGTTGAGGCTTCACCAGGAAGGAACCATGGCAGGAATATTGAAAATGTACTGGTTATTATACTACGGCAGGGGAAACACACTGATGTGAGTTAAAGTCGCTTGCTTTAACAATGGCTAATATTTTCAGACTCATTAGAATATTCATATAATACGATGCCAGCTGTTTCTACTATGAAATATTATCATTGGATATCAGTAAGGGGAAATGAAAAATGGAAGTAGCTCATGGTGAAATATGTTTGGAGCAAGCATAAAATTTATAGGTTTATGGACAGAGTCTAAGGTACTGTTTTATTGCCTTCAATATAACAAATCATATCTGTTAATACTAAAACATCTGACTTAAATGCTGTTTTTCCTAAAAGACAGTGGTCAGACTCTCACCGCTGATATTCTATTCTAAAAACAGCCGCATACTTTAGTGACTCCTGCTTAATGGTAACTCCCATCTACTATGTCTGTTCTGTCAATATTTTCTACAAGACAGTGACAAGGCACTGGGACCGTCGGGGCTCCGTTTTCAGGGTCTCAGGGAGGTCCGGGCTGCGGGAGTCAGAAGGGTCGTCTGTTCCAAAGGAGCTGAGGGCAAGTCGTCCCGATGCCCCTGGCAGGGAAAGCGGGGAGGGGCCACCAGAGCCCGGGGGACCTGGGCATGACAGGGCCCCACAGGGACTCGGGAAGCAGCGAGGGCGCCTTCGGGAGAGAAGCGTGCATTTTGTCACAAGGGGCCACTTCCGCGGGGCGGCCGGTCCGGCTGAATTCACCGAGACCGAGCCGGGATCACAGAGGGACAGGCCTGGCAAACCCACAGACCTTCTAGAGCTCTCATAGACCTGGAGTCAGGCTCCGCTGATTGTTCCGGCTGGGTCAGTGCCCCCGACGGTACCTGAGGCCCATCCAGAGAGGCCGTGCTTCTCTGGCTCTTCTAGGTGGTGGAGCGGGGAGACTTTGCGGAGATATGCGTAACTGTGTACGGTAATATAGGTGTTTTTGAAAACACCCTCCCTGTAAGGTAGTAGAGTACCTTGCGTTCAGAGCTTGGAAGCAGTTCCCCAGAGCGGCCCTGCTCTCCGACCTAAGAGGGGCCTCCTTCCCCGCGTGGGCTCTCCGGGAATCCGCGCCATTCCATGCCTGCTCTCCATGTACGGCCTCCACACACTGGAAGGAAAGTTAGGTCTGTGTGCACGATCGTGTTTGCTGGTTGTGACGTGTGTGCACAGACTGTAACGTGGCTTTTCCTCTTACACGTCTGCGTCGGGCAGCTTGCCTGTGTGGGGCGCGGTCACCCCTGACGACGGCATCACCCTCCTCCCGCTCAGGCAGCGTGTGTTACAGAGCGGTGGCCTGGCGCTGAGAAACTGTAAGAAGTTCATTTTTAACTGAGTCCAAACGCATTTTTTTCTGCGGATTGTAGACTCACCAGACCGTCATCCCTGTTCTCAGCTGCCCAGCTTCATCTGCACGGCTACCCCTGGGCCATGGTGGCCTCTCTGATGTCACCAAACAGGTGGCGTTGCCTCGCTTTCCCCACTTCCCACCGAGGCTGACGGTGACACCTGTAACCCAGGCCCTACCCATCACATACCGCAGCCGCTTAAGCCCTGTGCGGTTAAAGAGGAGGTTGCTAGATGCCCCGGGGGGGCCTAAGTCCTCCTTGCTCCGTGACAGGTCAGCCTGCACAGGAGGCATAAATATGCTGGTTCAGTCAGATCTTATGCAGATCTGTCATGTCATTCAGAGCGGCTTTTAGGGGGTGCCACCAGCTCTTCCCACCCCCACACACTCTGTCTTCTAACCTCTCGCTCTTCCTCACAGTGTGAGAAGGGCGGCCTCCGCAGCAGCCTCCAACACGTACCCACCATGGGTCGGCGCCTTTTCTTTCACATAACGCTCTGTGTTCCTTTGTCCGTTTGGGGTTCCTCGCTTGGACTGGTACGTTCTAAAGGAGCGTGGATCGTGTCTCCTTAGCGTGGCTTGTGTGGGCGTTGCCCGCAGGTTTGAGACTGATGTTAAGTAACTGTACCGTGCTACCTCGCGTATTCTTTTCTTTCTGCACTTTCCTGTGCCGTTTCCACTGTTTCATGTCCTTAGAATAATCTCTTGACATTTGAAGGATACAAGCAAACTTTAATGCTCCTCGGTGCAGATGAAATGATAACTCGTCAGTCCTGTTATGGAGAAGTCGGAGCCCCTCACAGGCATTACCTTATTCACATTTGCAACAGCTGCACCGGAGACAACAGGACAGGTGTTGCTGCTATTCTGCAAATCGATGCTGAGGTCACCTCAGGAACTTTTGGCAAAAACCCTAAAGGCACCACAGCGGAAAGTCGGCAGAGGCAGGCCGCATATGGTGCCTCGGCCCCAGGCTGGGCCAAGCCCCGGGGCCTGGGACCCAGTCGTCCCTGCCGCATGCGGTCATGCCGCTCACGCTCCTGTGAGTGTCTTGGGGGCAGGCCGGTGCCCGCCGGAGGCAGGGCCCCAGGGGTTGAAGGAGGCGGCTGGAGCAAAGGAAACTGGCTCTGAGCAGCCGCTGGGCAGACGAGCTTCCCCCTCGGCACACACGTTTAAATCTGATGGTTTCTCACACTGAAAATTGTTGGCCAGTTCTACACACATCATTCCTCTCACCGCTGAGAATTACTGTAAGTAGACCTCATTTTATGGATTGAACTGTCCTTTCCATTTCATAAGCTGGTAGGTGCCCCCCACCCCCGCCCCAAAGCAGCCCTACTGGCTCCTTAACCGCAGCCAGGGGTCTGCAAGCAAAACAGGCTAATGATCGAACACGTTAGGGAATTCTTTGCAGCAAAGAAAACAATGCCATTTTTTGGCTTATTTGAAGATGTTAATCTGGGGAGCCATTTTCTAACTGGCATAATCAGCTTTGATACCTTCAAGCAGCAGCACGTTCTCGGCCTAATTGCCTTTTGGACAGCAGGCTGAGTCATAACACGGGAAATGTAGAGAAGGAAGAATAATTGAGCATCAGAAGCCTCCTAATGATTTCCAGCCCCGATCCAAGGGCACAGGAAAAGCGTGACTTCTGGGAGAGAGGAAGATAAATGCAGCCACTTTCACCGAATGCTAATGACCCTTCCGGAGACCCCGGCATCCCAGGGAGGACTAGCTGTCGGGACAGGGAGGTGGCCAGCGCTGACCCTGGGAGGGGTCTTCAGCAAGTCGAGGTTCTGCGCGATAACCACCACGAGGAAGGCCCAGCGGGGGGCCCGTTACCTGGGGTGCGCCCAGCCGCACTGGGCTGCCCTCATCGGAGGCCGCGCTAGGCAGGCACGGCCCTCAGTTCAGGTTAGTTTCAGGTCCTGCTGCAGCAGTGCGTGCAGGCCAGGGCGGTCCTTGGCGGGGCCCAGCCTGGTGACGCAGGAAGGGCTCCTCCCCGCGGACGGGGCAGTGCGCTCAGCCGCTCGTCCCCTGGGGGGGCCCTGCCAGGGGCTGGTGTCACAGCCAGATGGCCTCTCCCCAAATGTGGCTCGCATCCTCCCGCATTTGGATTTATTTTACAGCACTTCAAATCGATGGGCGTCTCTTGATTTGATTCTTGTAATGGTACTGCTTCGGCTTTTAGGGAAATAAGGATGAACAAGAGGAAAGTACATCCCTTTATAAGTTCTTAGCCTTTTCCCCACATTTTGCCCTAAATTTTAATGTTGAATTTGTATATTGAAAAAGTTCAGACCAACAGCACACACTGTGTACATTTTACCCAAATTTAACAGTTGTTAACATTTTTCTGCTTACACAGTTCTTCCTTTGTGGTGTATTTGGCTTTCTGAACCATTTGAAAACACTGATGTTACTCAGCTGATGATGGTGTTATGCCCTGATAAACCCATCGTAAGTAAAAAATATCAAAAGTCAAAAACGTATTTCATACAGCTAACCTACCGAAGTCTAGCCTCGCCTACCTTCCCCGCGCTCAGAACACTTACGGTAGCCGACAGCCGGGCAACATCCTCTCCCTGCTGCTGCAGGATCGTGCCGCACGTCGCTCGCCCAGGAAAGGACCGAAATTCAAAGCAGAGCTTCTACTGGATGCATATTGCTTTCACACCATTGTAAAGTTGAAAAACTGTAAGTCAAACCATCATACGTTGGGGACTGCCTGTGTGTTGAAGGCATACCACCCCTTAACCCCCAAACGTCTTCACGTTGCATCTCTGCAGAAGCAGGCTGTTCTCCGCAGCACCGTTATCTCCTCCAAAATCTATAACATTGGTAGAAGTATTACACAGCTCACAGTCATACCCCTTAATTTTCCCAGTAATGCTGTTTATAACATCCACTAAAAAAATCTAAAAATGCATGCATTGTATTTAGTTGACACGCCTGTTTAGTATCTTTTAATCCAGAAAAGTCACTCACAGACACCTTTTTAGTCGTCTGCGACCCTGATAGTTTTGAACAGCCAGGCCAGCCGGCCTCTCCGGTGTCCAGAATTCCACATCGGCCTGATAGTTTCCCCCGATGAGATTCAGCTTGAGCGTTTTTGGCAAAAATTATTACGTAAGTGATGTTGTATTGGTATCCATCCTGGCATCACATGAGGAAGCACATAATGTCAGTTTGTCCTTTTATTGGCGATGCTAAATTTGACCATTTGGTTAAGATGATATTCATGACATCTGTCTGCTGCCTTTTTTTGTTTGCTTGCTTGTTTTTAACTAAGAGTTAATACATGGAGTGGTTCTTTGAGACTGTAAATATCACACTTCCCAACATTTCACCCAGTGGATTAGCACCCATCGATAGGTGATTCCTGCCTGGACCAGTCCTTACACCGGCAGCTGCGAAGGGCGCCTTTCTAACTCTCTGACCTACTGCCCATCCCAGTAGCAGGCAGTGCTCTTCTGGGAGAAGAGACTCTCCTCTACTTGCCTGTAGGGATTCTTTCTATCATTTGCCACGTTATTTTGCATCACTCTTCGTATTCTTCTCTAGCCTAAAGTACTCCAATTTTTTAAAGCACTCTCTTGCTTTTTAGAACACGATGTTTCAGACTCACCCTGTACTTTGCCAGCCCTAGACCAGGAGTCTAAACAGCCAACTTTCAATACAGAGTACGTTCTAGGGAAGCGGTGGAATCATTTGTAAATAGAAAAGAGGGAATTATTATCCAGCTGTACGGGTAGAGAACCAGAGAGTGCTGCACAGGCCAGAAGGTGACATCTGAGGTTAGCCTTGAAGGACACAGCAAGCTTTGGAAAGATGGGGGCGGTGCCAGGGGAGAGGGCCCATCAGGACTTTCCAGGGGAGCGGGGAGTTCCTGATCTGCTGAGGGACAGGCCAGCAGCTTACGTGGGAGGATGCAGCCAGGTGACGAAGGGCCTCAGGGGCCAGGCCACGCGGTCCGGGGTGTGGGACAGGAAGGTGACAGGCAACGGGGGCCTCCCAGCGGTTCCTCCACGTGGGAATGACACGCTCAGACACGGGCTTCGGGGGAGGGGCGGGGGAGGGGCGGCGGTGATTGGGAACGAGTCCCGTGAGAAGGTCCCGGTGGTGTCCAGGCGGGTCTGCTCAGGGTAGTCCTCAGAGTGTCGTGTGTCCCCTGTCAGTAACCCCAGTTAGGTTTGTTGAGATTTCGCATTTCAGTTTTCTTCTCTAAAGCTCTGCTACATATTTCTCAACCTTCAACTTGAAGGACAGGACTGTCTTTCTTGCTGCTGAGTATGTTAAGTACCTTTAAACGATTTAATACTCTCATTTTGAATTTAGTAGTCCCTGTATAACCTGAGACCGCACACTCCCTGTGTGCGGCTGAAAGGAAAAGCAGTATGTGTAGTAAGCAGTCCAAAGACAGTGCTGGCCTGGAAGCTGCCGGCGTCCCGAGCACGGCCCCCGCCTCAGGCAGCACACCCGGCCGACAGAGCAGCCGCCACTGCACATGTGACCACGCGTCAGGTTTCAGAGGCTCAGTATGAAAGAGTAAAACATCTCCGTGACTGTTATATTGTTGGCATGTCAAAATCATATTTTAGACATACTGGATTAAATGAATATAAAGTGGCCTATCCTTGACATTTTATTCAACTTATTATTAGAAGTCCTAGCAGTGAGGCAAATTAAAAAAAAAAAAAAGGTATTGAGAGCAGGAAGGAAGAAGTGAAATTGTCACTACTTTCGGACGATGCAGTGTTATATAGGGGTGGGCAAGAGTAGGCTTGCGGTTGTAAATAATACAATAATTAATAAATAATACAGGACTAAACTGTGTTTTATGTACTCACAGCTATAAACCTACTTTTGCCCACACTGTATATAAAAAAAGAAACTCTAAAGACTCCATCAAAAAACTGTTAGAATAAACAAATTCAGCAAACATGCAGGATACAAAAATAAATATACAAAAATTTATTGTATATCTCTACATTAATGACAAACTATCAGAAAGAGAATTTACTTTACAATTGCATAAAATAAAATATCTAGGAAAAAATTTAACCAAGGAGGTGAACGCTCTCTACACTGAAAACTATAAGGTGCTGATGGAATCAATTGAAGATGACACAAATAAATGGAAAGATATTTCACGCCCATGGGTTGGAAGAATAAATATTGATAAGATGTCCATCCTACACAAAGCAATCTACAGAGTTGTTGCAATTCCTATCAAAATTCCGATGGCATTTTTCACAGAAATGGATAGAACCACAACAGACCCATCAATCTTTAGAAAGAGAGACAAAGCTGGAGGCATCATCCTTCCTGATTTTAAACTATATCACAAAGCTATTGTCATCAAACAGTATGGCACTGGCATTTTAAAAAGAAATACAGATTAATGGAACAAATAGAAAGCACAGAAATAAACCCACGTGCGTGTAGTTTGTTTTTAACAAAGGAGCCAATATTATACAGTGGAGAAAGAACAATCTTGGCAATAAATCATGTTGGGAAAACTGGATCTCAGTCAAACACCACCACAAAACTCAACTAAAAATGGGTTAAAGATTTGAGCGTAAGACCTGAAGCCATAAAACTCCTAGAAGGAAACATAGGGAGAAGTCTTCTTTTCATCAGTCTTGACAATGATCCTTTTGACAACAAAAGCAAAAGCAGTAAAAACAAAAACAAGTGGGAATATACGAATTAAAATCCTCTGCAGAGCAAAGGAAACTATTAACACAATGAGAAGGCAACCTACTAAATGAAAGAAAATATTTGCAAATTATCAGATAAGAGATCAATATACAAAATATAAAAAGAATTCATACAACTCAACATTGTATTTCTGAAAGCTGCTGAGACAGATCTTAAAAGTTCCCATCTCACGGCATTGCATATGTTGAATCATCATGTTGTACACTTGATAATATGTCAATTATCCCTCAACAATGACAAATACACATACTAACATTTTACTTATATGTACTTTTTTAATGTGGCTACTGTAAAATTAAAAGGTAGATGTGTGGATCACATACTTCTATTCAACAGTGCTGATACAGATAACTGTATTTCTTTGATATATGGTCTCTAATTTTTTTCTTTTTAAGATTCCAATCAACATGCATACACAAAAGGCCAGTACTCTACACCTCTAAACTAGGATGGCTGTGAGTTTCTGCCTTCCAGACTGTGAGAAGGCAATATGTCACTTTAATTTTTGAAAATATTCAAGAAAATCATAGGTATAAATGTTTTATAGGAAACAATTTTAATAATCTCGCTCCCCAGGTTTCTATTTTAAGATTTATTTTTAGAGAGAAGAGAAGGAGGGGGAGAAACATCAACTGGTTGCCGCCTGTGCACCGCCCCCCCACCTGGGACCTGTGGGAATCGAACCTGCAACCTTTTCGTTTATGGGACAGTGCCAACCCACTGAGCCACACCAGCCAGAGTGAGGATTCCTATTTTAAATGTGTAAATTAACCATTTTTAAATAAAAAGTTTGCCTCCTGCATTTACACAGAAAGCCCCTTTTAACTATGTTTCAAAAAATTATGAAGAAACTGATTTTAGAGGCAGCATATTTGCTTTTCTGCTACTGAAACCTTCCATTTTTGCATTGCACCGCACTTCCTCCAAACAGGCTAAGCCTCGCTGAGAGGGAGGCTGGTAGGCGCACGGGCGTGCTGGCCTCGGAGCGGGCTAGGCGGCAACCCCCAGCCCTACCTGCGCAGGGTGCGTCCCAGCCCGGCCGTCCCTCCCTCGTCAGAGCCAGCACAGGGCTCCTGTAGCCAGGGGGCTCGGTGCACAGTTCTGCTGGATGTGGTCCCCAAACAAAAGCCTTCTCCGCCCTGTCTGTGGCCCCAGCCAGGTAGGGAAGATCATTTATAGTCCCGCCCCCTGTTGAATACAACCTCCAACCCCACCTGTCCAGGAAACCTAACCAGACCCAAGAACCTACAGAGCCCATCCTGTACCCCAGTGACGGTGGCCCTTGCGAGCAGAGCCAATAGAGTAACCATGTGGCCAGGGAACGCGGTGCATGATTCTGCCTCATCTGGTCCCCAGACAAGAGCCTGCATAGCTGCCGCACCCGGGCTGTACCCACTGCCCACTCCTGAACACAGCCTTCAGCCTGCCCAGCCAGCGGCGCTAACCAGAGCGCGTGGGGAGCCGCAGAGCCCGTCCTACAGCCCTGCTTACAGAGGCACACGGCTTTCCCCATCTGCAGCGCAAAGCAGGTGGCTCCCTGTGGCCAGGGAACTCGGTGCGCGCTCCTGCCTGATTCAGCCCGCAGACAAGAGCGGGTGGGGCCCTGGAGCCTGTGTGCTGCACTGCCCGAGCAGGGACGGATTCCTAGCCTGCTTCCTGCCGTGGCTGCGGGGCCAGTGCTGTCCAGCAACGGAGCCCGACCGCAGGGGCCAGGCAGCTGCCGAGCTCTGCCGGCAGTCTGGCCGGGAACCAGGGCAACATAGGACATGCTTTCTGGGATAGATCCTATGGTAGTTAGGCAACACAGTGGGTCACAGCAAATCCAAGGAAAGTGAAATATCCCAGTCATTTTCTGACCGCAGTGGTATGAAACTAGAAATCAATAACAGAAGAAAAACTGGAAAATTCACGAATCCATGAAAGTTAAACACCACTCTCCTGAGCAAACTCTGGATCAAAGAAGAAATTAAAAGGGAAATAAAAGTGTTCTGAGACAAACGAAATTGGAAATAGAGCATACTAAAACTTAGAGGGTTCGGCAAAGCAGTTCTAAGAGGCGAGTGCGTCGCTGTGAATGCCCACACCACGAACGGGAAAAGAGCCCAACTAACCAGCCCAGCTTCACCCCTCTGCAGCAAGAAAAAGAGGAGTTCACTAAGCCCGAAGTTAGCAGAAGAAAAGAAATTCTAAAGATTACAGCAGAAATAGAGAACAGGAAAACAACAGAAAATATCAACAAACTAAGAGCTGGTTCTTTGCAAAGATAAACGAAATTAACAAACCTAACTAGACTAACCAAGGAAAAAAGAGAGGACTTCATCAGCAATCCTTCGAGCCCAGGTAAAGCTGGGGCTTTAATGCATCTCCAGAACCTTAAAATGCACCTGTCAAATTCAGGTGGGCAGTGCACGCCAGGCCCTGCACTAGGGGGCTCCCGCTTTGAAGCCTGCGGCCTCCGGGAGCGCCCTTGGCAAACATACATGCCTTCGCCACCCCTGCCCCTTCCCTGCCAGCTGCTGGGGGTCGGGGGGCGTCAGGCCTTCTTTCTCAGGCAGGCTCCAAGGTGACTCCACGACCGTCCCCCTAACCCCCTCTCCACGGAACAGTGTCTGGATTTGTTTGTGCAGTGTGCGTGCATGTTAATATCATTCAGGAACTTCAGAGTACCGAAGAGGTGAGAGCTTCTTGTACTAAATTACATGTTAGTTAGGGTGCTAGCCACGTGAGGGCCTCACTCCTCCTGTGTCCATCTTACTTTATGACTTCGTATTTACGTTAGTAAAGGTGTAACAACAATGAAAAATTAACAACTTGAGTTTTAATGAGTAAAGTGCGTGAACTGGTAATACTAATCGTACATTGTCCTGTAAGAATACTATTTCTGAACTTTAAAATGGCCTTTGCAAGGATTTCCTCGGGAGAACAGGCTCCCCCTGGTGGGGAGTGAGCAGCACAGTCCACTTCCTGCCCCCAAACTGTGGACCTTCAGATAACACTGGGGAGCAAGGGGGCCTCTTCTGACTCTCAACTGTGTGGGCTCCATAGCATTGGTGTATTTTTCTCTTTGAATTCTAGCAAAAAAAAAAAGGCCCGTCATGTTGGTGAAGTGAACTGTTCTTCTATAAGCCAAGTCCCCGGGCGTTCACTGCAGCCATTTTGTTAGATACGTAAGCCGAGATTTACACATAGGTAATTATGACTACGTAGATTCTTATTGTATAACTTAACTCATAAGCCTTTACTTGGGTAATTAAATAGTTCATTGATTATGATGATTATCATAATGATTATCTCATCTCTTACCCTCATTTGCAGCCCAGCTTATGGTTATACACACTCATTTGGAAGCCTGCGTTGACCTTTTGAGTTCCTATTTATTTTACAGAAAATAAGCCCTGTCCATTTTAGCTTTCCTTAATTTATGAGAAAAAAAAAATTTCAAAACTCTGTTTTCTTGAAGCAATTAGTTTTCTGCCTGATATCATTTATTTTTGAAGCTAAAACAGTGTCACTATAGAGTTTAATAACTGATATAAAATGTTCTGAATCATCAAGAAAAAATTAAAATTGCACCAGGCAAGGAATTAAGTAGCACATTACAGAAATGGATTTTGGTTTTACAGTTGATAAAGAACAAAAAGAAAAAAAAATCTAATGAAAGTCTGTTATGAAAATGGCATACATCCAAACGGCCAGTAACCAGCGCCAGGAGAGGAGGCCCCAGCAAGTTAGGGGACTGTCCGTTTCAGATCCCTATCACAGATTTCGCTTATCTCGTATTCTATACATCTCCTATCAAAGCACGTGCGTAATTGCTTTTTGCTAACTATTGACAGAGTCATTTCACACTACAGAAAGATTGGCTTTCACCAAACATTTTTTCCTCATTTCCTTATAGCGAAGCACATGCTCGGTTTTGGAACACTGGTCAGCACCTCCAACACCTACGACGGGTCTGGGGTCGTGACCGTGGAAACGGACCACCCGCTCCTCTGGACCATGGCCATCAGAAACGCCTCTGACTGACTCGTCTGCCGGCAGCTCGCCCCTCAACAGCAGCGGCTTCCTTGGGTCTCAGGAGCCCAAGCCTCTCCCCGGGAAGCCCGCTAGTTTCAGAGATGCTGATGTTTAGATAATGCAGGTTAACATAAATGACAGACGTTTTATAGTGAGGGGGAAAATCATTATTTTTAAGAAGATAAGCTCTGTTATATTCAGTTGGGAAACTGACTCGTTCCACCACACAGTTCAGCACTGATGACCGTCATGTTATTAATCATTCCATTTTCTCTATGAAATTGCTTTCCTTTGGAGCTGAGGAGGCCCGCGGAGGCTCCGGGCGCCCCTCACACACGCCGCCTCTGCACATGCTTCGCCGCGCACCACACAGGCTGCTCTGAGCATCTCGGGGTCAGGCCCCGCTGTGTGACGCACGTGGAGATGTGAGCGCTGCACCCTTTTGCTTTGGCCTTATTGCCGTCTTTGGTCTTGTCTCTTAAAAATGAGACTCACTGACCTAATTATTAAATTTGAAAACAGGTTGTTCTGGAAACTCTAGTTGAAGAGAGAAATGTCATGAGAGACAAATGACAAGTCACAAAGCCGCGTGACATGCCCCAGGGCCACGCCCTGGTGCAAGGACTGACGGGCCTGCCCTCCTCGCACTTAGTCAGTTACAGCCCAGGCTGAAGGCCTCGTGCACGGGAAACACGCCTAAACGCGGGGCCGCTCCGGCCACACCGCCGGCCGGGAGCCTGCTGGCTCGCGGACAGTGCGTTTGGTCAGGTGGCCAGCAGTGAGCTTGGCGGCCCGTGGGGACGTGAGGGCGCCATGTGCGGGGCCTGGGTCTGAAGGCCTGTGTTCCTTCCCGGGTCCGGCCACGGCCCCCGAGCCCCTGTCCTCAGCCGGAAACCAGAGGGGCCCGAGCCGCTGCCCACGCCCGGATTCTAGACCCCAACGGGTATTGGGCACGTAATGCACAGGTGACAGCCTCCAACTGCCCAGCACCCTGAGATGTATTCGCATCATATTCATGACGAGACCCTCTTCCAGCTGCTTACCTTTTTGTGTCCCATTTCCCAAACCATATGTTGCCATAGAAACCAGGAGGCAAGGAGAGCCTGCCCAGCAGGTTTCCTGCTCTCAGCCCCAGGGTGCTGTGCGAGAGGTGCCGGTGGCTCTGTCCTCCTGGCGGGGCTGGGACGGGTCTGGGGTCGTGACCATGGAAACCACCCACTCCTCTGGGCCCAGCTCCCCCTGCGGACGGCTAATCCCTGGAGTGCGCTGTCATTGTTCATGCAAATATACATGTGATTGAAACCCAGGTGCCAAATAAAAATATTTAGTTAATGTGCACGTCTCCGGTCAGTTTCTAAGAAAACAGTCTTCTCTCAACTGTGTTTCATTATCACCAATCTCCTATCAATGTTTCTACAGTTTAAAATGGGATGATTGGTAACAGTATTTCATTTATCCGATTTCAGAACAGCCCAGGATTATCATTAATACTGCCTCTAGTCCCTCTCCTGGGGAGTTACTGTCCAGATCCTGCGTGACCCCATCTGTAAACCAGGGGAGTAAGTGCGGACCAGTTCCCCTCGTAGGACTTGGGAAGAACAGGGGAGCTTCCTGAGCGGGAGAAAAGTGGGCAGGGACAAGGACCTGCCTGGGCAGGTAAGCGAAGGAAATGGCTGGAGGAGGAGCCGAGGCCTCCAGCCCAGGCCACATACCCGGCGCTGTCATGAGGCCCAAGCTGGCGTCTCCTCAGCCAAACGCAGGGCCCAGAGCATCCCGCCCGCCTCCCTGATCCCAGCAGAAGCGCGCGAGGCGGCCGGAGTGGGTCAGCCGCACTGGCACTTTCTTTCACTCCGTTAAGTGGGAACCTCCAGCAGAACTGGCCAGAGACAACCGCTGTCCCCAGCCGGACCTGCGCCGAAGGAAACCTGAGAGCAGCAGAGTGGCAGGGCTGGGCGGGTGCTCTCAGCACCGGGGGGGACAGTGCTGTCTACCCTGCTCACAGGTCGGGGCTCAGCAGCTCGGTTCTCATCTCGGTTCTAGAAACGTGTTCACAACATACAAAAGAAATACGTCCGTTTTTTTAAGATTCCACTACAAAAGAATGTGTGCGCTATTTACTCTGAAAACAAGTGGATAGTTAGCAAAAACAATGCCGTGTGCTGCAGCTTAGTCCACACTGCGGGGGGAGGCACCAAGAATCCCCCATCACCGCCCCCGTCTCACGCTGTCCCCCAGACGCCCACGGCAGCTCCCTCCTCCTGCAGAGGGCGCCTCCCCATTCCTGCCAGGCTGCTCAAGAAGGGGGTGTTTGACCCCTTTCCATTCCTCAGAACTGCTTAGTGCAATTTTCCGCTACCGACAACATCATTTAAAGAGGCATCACTGACTGTTTTTCTATGAACACAGTGAGTCTGCAGGTGACGAGGTCTCAGGCGCATCCCCAGAAGCTCGCGCCACCTCCCTCCCCATGGTGCCTCCCTGCCCCTGCCCCCGCCCCTCCAGTCTGGGCCCTGCCGGGAAAGCCTCCCGGCTTCCTCGGTCCCTGGGACTTCCAGCTTTCTTTATTACGTGAGTCGGATTTATAGCTTTTATGAATCTAGTGATGGTCACCCCAAAATGGCGCGGGGCTACCTCAGTCTCTGATTAGTGAGAACGAGTGCTCATCGCCCTCTCCCTGACGTCACGCAGCGGGGAAGCCCGCGAATGGCTGCAGCTGCGGGGTCCTGGGTGGCCGTGCGGGCCGGACCGGGGAGCGGACCGCAGTCCCAGAGGCGAGTCGGGCAGCGCAGTGCAGGCGCGGGCAAGCGGAGGCTTGCAGTTAGGAGTTCGCAAAACGCTTTATTCTTGCCTGATTATTTATTAATTAATTGTATCAGTTTCTGTATGAACAACTGTATACCGACTGCTGCCCACCCCTGTATATCTTCATTCCTTAATTTTTGCTCAGCAGACAGAGAGCAGTTTCCTGGGCTGGGAACAAGGGCCACCTCCTGATACACAGACTCCCCCGGCCAGGAGGTGGCACCGAACAGCCGGGCCTTTGCAGGCTCCCCAGTGGCTCAAGCTTCTGTGCCGGGCTTCTAACACGTGCAGTGCGCGCGCAACAGACCTTGCTCATGGCTCCCGCTCAAGTTCATGTTTTCCAAAGATTTACTGGAAAGGTCAGAATAAAGCAGCACGTGGATTTGACGTGATTGAGACGCATGACCTACGCTACATCAGCGAGCAGGACGAAACTACCCTCTCCCCAACGCTGTGACTGCAAAAGGGGCGCGGTCTGAATGGCGACCTTCACACTATCACCGTGGCCCAGCAGGAACACACGGTCTTGTGACCTGGTCCAAACACACACACACCCCCCCCAAACATGGTACTCTAAAAATTTTATTCTAAGTTGAAAAACACCAAGAGTCTATTCTAGATTGAAAACCAACCAAGGGGTAGGGTAAAACACAGAAAAGGACTTTTTAAAATGCGGGTGCATAGGCAAGAGGTGCCTTCAGCTTATACTTCGTTCCTAAATGAAGGACCATCAGAGTATAATTTACCACTTTATCTTCCTCACTTAATAACAACAGTTTGCATTCTGTGTGCGCTGAGGGCACTGACCCTCCAAAGACAGGGCGCCGGATGCGGCCCCGTTTGGGAATAAGAAAGTCAACTCAACATCACTGGGAGTGGGGGACACTGGATCGCTAAGTTGTGTCTATGGCATCCTATTCAGAATAAAATAAATGACCTTTTTACCTGGGAGAGATCAAAACCAAAGCCACGAGGCCGAGCCATGCCCAGGGAGTCACAACACGTGACACGGGAAGTCCCTCGGACGTACCAGGCAGCCCTCCCCTGCCTGCAGCAGGCGCCACTTGCTAATCATAGCTTCCTTTTCGGGTGTGTCCCCTTCTCATAGTGGCTCCGGGCAGCCAGGGCCAGTCCCGCTCCCTGCAGACTCACCTCACGGGAGGTCTTACCAGCGCACGTACAGCAGCTGCCCCCACCTGGGGAAGGGACAGGGCGGTGGCCTGCCTCGCAGGTGATGGAAAAGTAAACAGACCCGAGCTAGTTCCCCATGGACTTAACTCCACCTCTGAGAGCAGGGGCTTTCTAGGCAGCAAAATAAAAACTTGGGCCATCCCTGCAAGCGACTTGAAGAACATAAGTTGGGCCCTACAATCATCCACTGTTAAAAAATAGGAAAGTTCTGATAATAGACTCGGTCCCCTGGGAACCGGGAAATCAGGCATTCAATACTGTCCTAGCCCAAATGTTGAAAGGCATTTTTAACTGGCGGTTAAAGGAATTGATAAGAGATTTAAAATCATGCCTTAAATATTTACTTCTTTCAAAGACCAGTGAATGTTTAATAGCTAGCTCCGTTTTTGGACAATAAACATGGGAAACTAGGAGGAGAAAACCCTGCAGGAACTGGGCCGAGTCCCATCTGGAGGCCATAATTCTGTGTTCAGTTGCTTAACATCGTTGAGCTCCTGCATGAACACAAACCCTGCAGGAGCGTGGACTCCGCTCCCCGGCACCTGCTGCGTCCTCCGCGGCAGCAGGCGCGCAGAAACTACGCGTGGGGAGTCATTGCCGCAGAAACTAGCCTCCCCCCGTACCCAGGCCGCAGGAATACGGCGCACGGCATCTCCTGTCCCTGAAAACTAGGCTCTTCCTTCCTGGATTCGTACCCATGCACGATTTAAGATGGAACCTCAAGTTTCCCTTGAATAGGTTCCTCAGTCTAATGACGAGGATGCTAATTCTAGACCAGATCGTCCTGGTCATGTAACTGGCTCACCCACACACCTGAGGACGGACATGACATGCACGGTCCCAAGGCTGGGCTCACACACAGCGCCCAGGGTGGCCACGGCTAGTAACGGGAAAAGCGGAAGGCCAAGGGCTCCTGAGTTGCCGGAAGGGGGACGGATGGGGAAAAGGGGAAGCCGCCGGGCCGGCCGTGGCAGCGGTCGGGAAGGTCTCTGCGGACGAACGGAAGCAAGGCCAAAGTGAGTGCCAACAGCAAGTTGGGCTGGGCTGATTTGCAAGGGGAAAGAAACAGAGCATAAGAGGTAACAGAGAAACTTCTCAGAGTTGGCAAGCTTGTAGCCGGAGCTGTTCCCAGCCACGGCGGTTCGAGGAACGACCTTGGCTGGCACGAGCTGAAGTGGACGACAGACAAAGGTATGTGCCACTTTTCAATGCGCTTTGAAACCATGGCATGCAATTCTGATATTTTCTTTGTGTTTACATCTACTTGTTCCACAAATTAAAACCTTAATATGCATGTAAAATTAGCCGGAGGGCTCTAAAACCATAAAAAATAATGATACGCTGTCACGTGCTGAAAAACCCACCCTAAACCCCATTATCTGTTACTTGGATTTCATGTTCCCGATACTAAGTAGCACTATTATCAAACTTTTTAAAAAGTATTAATGCCACAAACGAGTTAGTTTTTTATTAGAAAACGAACATCTCCAAAAAAAACTTATCTTCATAGTACTTTCGTTCACACAAATACTGAGCAGATATTTGTAGAATGCATAAAGCCGCTTCCTGCGGGATAGTAAGACATTCTACTCAACCTGTCCCTTACACAATTCCTACACTTAGGTTCCACCACAGCCTTACTGGATAACCCCAATAATTTATTACCAGTTATAAAATTTGAAAAATAATCTCAAAAATAGGCTTCTGTACAAACAGACGTGGAACCAAATAATGTGAAGGGCTGAGGAAGGGCTCCCTTAGAATAATGCAGAGGCTTCGCTCTTCTCTGCCACAGAAGGTGTTAAGTGTCCATCAATTTAATTTTCTCTCTGCTCCATCAACTTCCATAATTTAAGCAATACCTTTCCCTCCACCTTTCGCTACCTATCCCTGAAAAACTCTCCTCGGCCCCAGTGGTTTCTGCGTCCTGCCCTTTCATTGGCACTTCTTAAAAGGCAGGGGTGCCCACGTGAATAATGAGATCAGGAGCGACGGTGCAGAACGTTGTTGGAGTAGCTGTTAGTCCCTGAATTTATTATGCATATTTTAAAGTTGACCTTTTAATCTGAGTTTTTATTCACCATTGCAAGGACTAGAGCGGCACAGTCAGTTCACGTGTTTGTAGGTCCAGGGACCCTGAGCGATGACTTTCAGGAGGAAAGTGTCAGAGTAAATCATGATGAAGCCCATATAGTCTCTTTTCTCTTTTCTAAGGCTAAATGGAGGTAGTGGAAAGTTTTGGGTTTTGGGGTTTTGGGTTTTTTTCAGGTTTTTTTTTTTTAGGAACAAAGTAAGTTACCCACAAAAAAATTTGTTGCCCTAAATTTTAAGAAGTGGATATTCACATCATTTTCATAATTTCTTTTCTAGATAAGATGTTGGTGGTAACTGTGTACCCACAGAAATACACACAGGGTGTTGATCACATGGTGCTGTTTCCCTTCACCCCTGTCCTCTGGAAGGCGTCGCTGTCCGCGTGCTGTCCCAGGCTTAACCTTGCCCTGGCAGATGTGCAATTTATCACAGCTGAACCTCCAAAGCACGAAGATCAAGTAAATAATATTAGGTCTAAGAGGACATGATAAAAGGATGGACTGCAAACAATTAGGAGTTACAGAAGCCCCAAGTCATGGAATTTTCCAATTATTCATATTCTAGCCTCCTCAAAACAATACATATGTCAGGTGCCTTTGTAAACTCTGGGAGACACATTTCACCTGTACATGGGAAAAAAAAAAAAGAATCACCTAACGTGTGCCATCCAAAAGCCACGGAAAGGACGCCCTCCCTGCGACGCAGCGAGTTCCCGGGGTCCGTTCGAGGCTGGACAGGCCCCTGTGGACCTGGCCCCGAATGCGCCCCCAGGATTCCATGTGGGGTAACCCCCCAGGAGAGCCAAGGTTGTGCACCTGCGTGAAGTCTGAGGGAGACGGTATATGCCGGTTTCGAGATTTGTGCTGCTCCGCTCAAATCATCAGCAGAGATCCTAACGTTTTTTGTTTTTTTTTTTTGCAGAAGTATCCCTATGGCCCCATGGAAAATGGCTGCTACGGCATCTGCCAGTTAGGTTTCTGGGTTGAAGACTTAGAGCGGGGGACGCGGGCAACCTATGAAAGAATGCAGAGGAAAGAACAAAGATGAAAATGAGCTTCCCTGGTTTGAGGAGAGTTCGAGTCCCAGGTGCCAGGCTCACCCGGGCTGTCACACTGAGTGAGCTTCCCCTCCCCCAGCCCCGGTCCTTGCAGTACCATTCACTATGGGACAGCCTAAGTGTCCAGCGATCATGATGAATGAATAGATGGAGGGGCGGGGGGGTGGCCGGGGGGTGTGTGTGTGTGTGTAAGTCTGACTCACCTGTATTTCTTTGGGCATTAAGGATAACATTTATTTTATTATCCCAAAACACATTTTTTTTCCCTATAAACAAAATTTCAGCATATCATTCAATCTCATGTTCATTTAACAAACATTACTGACAAATCCGTCCTGAGTCTGGACTTATGGTCAAGATGACAGAGAGCGTAATGCTGGGTCTACCTCCACCCATAGCCACGTGAAAATTACAACTAAACTGCAGAACAACCATCACAGGCAAACTGCCTGGAGACCAGCTAAACAGAAGTGCTGTAACCAAGGATATAAAGAAGCAGCCACGTGGAGACAGGAGGGCGGCGATGTGGAACAGGCACGTCCCACACCCACAGTGTGATGGTTGAGAAACAGGAGGGATATTTTGGCTTAAGCAGTCCCCGCGGAGGAGCAAGGGGCCCCAGCCCCGCAGCGGGCTCCCCCGCCCAGGGCACCAGCAGTGCCAGAAAGGGCGTCCCTATACCATGTGGCTGTAGAAGCCATCTGGGGTTGCGGCTGATTGAGACAGAGGGCTTCTGGAGACCCAGGGGCTGCAGATCTTAAGGAGCCGGCCACAGACTGTTGCCCGCAGACTCCTCACTCTGAGCTCCAGTGAGATGCAGCGGTTCGAAAGCACCAGGGGTATGTGGGGAGGAACGAAGTTGACCGACTGCAGAGCCAGGGCTGGAGGGGATGGGATCAGGGCAGTTCTCTCCCCGGGACAGGAGTGCTGGCAGGTCCACCCCTCTTCCAACGGCTCTCCCACACAGGCAAACGTCCCTAAAATATCGCAGAGGTCCGCAAGCCCCCAGGAGGCAGCAGTCGGATGGGTGTGCCCCGAGCCTCTTGCTCTCGTACGCTCAGCCTCGTCTCTCCCAGGTGCCTCCAGGCCCGGCACGGGCAGCGGCCAGCCTCAGGTCACTCTGTGGCCCCCGGATGGGCACAGGCAGTGGCTGGCCGTGGCCTGCACCAGAACCCCTCCTGAGAGGTCCCACAGTCCCTGCACCAGTGGCTGGTTTCAGGCCACCACTCGGTTAGCTTCACAAAGGACACACCAACAGGGTGGACTCCACGGCCCCTGAGCCCCAGCGAAGCAAATCCCACCCAATGGGGCCAGCCTCCGCGTAACAGCCCACCCGCTGTGGCCACGGCCACACCTCACAGCCTGTCAGCCTGAGGGGCGATCCCGCCCACTGACATGCCAGCAGCAATCAAGGCTCAACTATAATGAGAGGACACACAGCCCGAACGAGGGACACTCTGGGAGCACCCGGCTCAGGTGACCAGGGAGGCTGCCCCACTGGGCCTCACAGGCCACCTACCACACCGCGGCACCCTGCCAAGACCCAGAGACGGAGCGGCTCTGCCTACCAAATGGAAACAGATAAGGAGGCAGCCAAAACAAGGAGACAAAGAAATATGTCCCAGATGAAAGAATAGGACAAAACTCCAGAAAAAGAATTAAACAAAATGGAGACAAGCAATCTACCAGATGGAGAACTTAAAACAGTGGTTATAAGGATGCTCAATGAACTTAAGGGAGAAAGATGAATCCAATGACAACTTCATCAAAGAGACAGGAAACAGAAACGGAGACAGAAAACAAAACAGAAACAGTCAGAAATGAAGACTACGCTATGTGAGATGAAGAACACATTAGAGGGAATCAATATCAGATTAGAAGGATCAGAAGGCTAAATCAATGATCTGAAAGACAAGGTAACACAAAACACCAAACAGGAACAGCAAAAACAAAAAGGAATTTTAAAAATGTGGATAGTTTAAGGGACCTCTGGGCCAGCATCGAGCTCACCAACATTTGCATCATAGGGTTACTAGAAGGAGAAGAGAGAGCGCAAGGGATTGCAACGCGATTTGAGGAAATAATGATGGAAAACATCCCCGGCCTGGCCAAGGAAACAGACATACAGGTCTAGGAGCGCCAAGGGCCCCAAAGATGAAGCCGAAGAGGTCCACATAAGGACACTGAATAATTAAAATGACAAAGGAGGCAAGAACATACAATGAGGTAACGACAGCCTCTTCAATAAATGGTATTGGGGAAACTAGACAAATACATACACAAAAAAATGATACTAGACCATTTTCTTACATCATATACAAGAATCAATGCAAAATGGACTAAAGACATTCATGTTAAGACCTGTAACCATAAAACCCCAGAGGAAAATATAGACTGTAAACTCCTTGACATGGCTCTTAGTAATATATTTTTGGATATGTCTCAACAGGCAAGAGAAACAAAAAGGAAAACAAACACATGGGACCACATCAACCAAAAAGTGTTTGCACAACAAGGGAAACCATCAACAAAACGAAAAGACAACCTACCAAAAATGGAAGATGTTTGCCAATAATACACCCAGTAAGGGGTTAGTATCCAAACTATATAAAGAATTCATACATATAACCTAACACCAAATAAAACAAGCAACTGACTTAAAAATGTTCAGAGGCCCTGAGGAGACACTTCTGCAAAGAGGACATTCAGGTGGCCAATAGCCATATGAAAAGACTCTCAACATCATTTATCATCAGAGAAATGCAAATTAAAACCACAATGAGATATCACCTCCCACCTGTCAGAATGGCCATCATCAATAAATCAACAAACAGCAAGTGCTGGCGAGGACGCGGAGGAAAGGGGACCCTCGTGCGCTATTGGTGGGAATGCGGCCTGGTGCAGCCGCTGCGGACAGCACTGTGGAGGGTCCTCAAAAAATTAAAAACAGACCTACTTATGACCCACCAATTCTGCTTCTGGATATTTACCCGAAGAAATCTAAAACATTAATTTGATAAGATACATACAGCCCTACGTTCATTGCACTACTATTTACAATAGTGAAGACAGGGAAGTAACCCAAGTGCCCATCAGTAGATGAGTGGATAAAAAACAGCAGTGGTACAGTCACACAATGGAATACTACTTGGCCATAAAAAGGAAAGAAATCTTACCATCTGCAACAACGTGGACGGACTAGAGGGTATTGTGCTAAGTGAAATAAGTCAGACAGAGAAAGACAAATACCATATTATTTCACTTACATGTGGAATCTAAAGAACAAAATAAACTTATAGGTAGAAACAAACTCACAGGTAGAGAGAACAAAACTGATGGTTGCCAGACGGGAGGAGGGGTGGGGGTGGGGTAAGAAAGAGGAAGGAATGCACATCACCAGGAATAAAAACAGTAACAGGGGTGCAACGTACGGATTAGGAAATACAGTCAATAGTACTGCAATATCTGGAATAGACGAGTGTATTAGCATTGTAATAGACGATCGTAGTAAGTTTAAATGGCTACTACACTTATCAAGGGGGTCACTTCCTAAGTTAAATAAATGTCTAACCACCACACTGAACATCTGAAACTAATATTGTGTGTACTGTCATTGAAAAATTAAAAAATTTAAAAAATCATGATTGAGCACCGCCCCCCTTACCTTACGTCTGTCTCAGTCATGACCCCCGCACCCTTGCCGACACCCTCAGCCTCTCGCTGCGTGCGCTCCCTTGGCAAAGCCGAGACTCTGCGAAGCCCGCCTCTGCCTCCCCTGCCCCGGACGCAGCTGGGGGGCACCGGCCGCGACCGCGGCCTCACCTGAAAATCAACATGCAGGTACGTACAGACGCGCGGTCTTCGCATGGGCCCTGCCCGGCGGCGCCAGCAAGCTGGCCACGGGGCCATGACCCGCCCGCCCCTGCCTCGCTGCCCCCCCCCGCTCGGCCCGGGTCTCTCCCGCTGGCCTGCGAGAACGACAGCGTCTGACACTAACAGGCTCTTCGGCTGAGCCCGCTTCTCGGAGCAGCTCCTACCTCATTTCTCGAGTCTCCTTTGCAGTCAACTCCTTTCAAAAAGTTTCCAAACCAAGGCACGTGTTCCCAACTCCCCTCCTGGTTCTCTCCCGCTCCCGCCCCCTGACGCCCCGCCCCCTGACGCCCCGCCCCCCGGCTCCGCCCAGCTCCCGTCTCTCAGGGCGCCCACGGCGCCCGCCCGGCTGCTCACGGCCGCGCTGGGTCCTCGTCGGACTTGGCCCATCGGGCCGCTCCTCACAGCGAGCGCGCCCTTCCCCGGCCTGCAGGCCTCGCGCTCCCCGACCCTCCCCCGGGCCTGCTCACGCACCCCCTGCCCCGCTCCGACGGCTGGGCGCCGCGGCCATCTCCGCGGGAGCCCGCCGAGCACGCCGCCTACCGGACATCGCTCCCTGCCGCCTCGCGGGCCTCGCGCACCGAGCACATCCGCCGCCAGCCCCGCCCGCTCTCCGCGAAGCCCGCCGCGGCTGCCACCGTGCCCTCTCCAGGAGGCGAGCCCGCTGTCCCGCTGTCCAAGCCCAAAGCCTCCCCTCATCCTGCCTCCTCTTCCTCCCTCAGTTTCTAGCTGGACCTTCCAGGCGCACTTGGAATCTGACCGCGTCTCCCACCTCTGCCACCGTCCTGCGGATCCGGGCCACTGTGGGCGCTCGTCTGAGTCGTCGCGGCCGCCCCCGGTGGCCGTACTTCGGCTCCGGCCCCCTTTCCCGACTGTCCCCAGCGCGGCTGCCATGGCCTGCCACGCCATTTCTGTCCTGCAGACCCTGCAGTGCTTAGGAAAAAGCGGAAGTCCTTACTGGACCAACATGGGCCACTACGGACCAAAACGCCCAGCTGCGCTGGCCCGCGCCCCCCGGAACCTCCCCCCGGCTTTACGCTCTGCGGCTGCGCCCTCCGGTCGAGCTTCCCGGGCCCCTGGCTGCTCCCCAGACACTCCGGGCACCCTGCTGCCTCAGGGCCTTTGCTCGGCTATTCCCCCCGGCCTGGGATGCCGCTCCGCAGGTGCCCAGCGGGCTGGCATCCTGGCCGTTTTCGAGTCATTTCGCAAACCTCCCCTCCTGTACAAGGCCTGCCTGGAGGGAGCTCGTCAAGAAGGAAGCGGCCCGACGGCCCCACGCACCCCGCCCCTGGCACTCACGATCCCCCTTGCTTTGCTTTAATTTCCTTCTTTCAGAGAATTCATCACCCTCTAGCATACCACATAGTCTACTGATTTATTAGGTTCTGTCTTCTACCTGTTCAAATGCAATCTCCGCCAGGGCAGGGATTTTTCTTTTAGTCACTATGTATCCCAAGCCCCTGGTACACCGTGAAGTCCTGCCTTCGACACGGGCTTATTGAGAATGCGTCGTGTGCCAGGCACTGGGAACTGGGCACAGAATAAGACAAATGTGATGACCGTCCCCTTGGAGCTCACAGTCTAATTTTCAGAATATTCAGAAGAAAGTGGGGAAAGGCCCTCAGCCGGGTAGCTCAGTTGGTTAGAGCATCATCCCCATATGCCAAGGTTGCGGGTTCGATCCCTGTCAGGGCACATATGTTTCTCTCTTCCTTCCTCTCTCAAAAATCAATAATTACGCATTTTCTTGTAAAGTGGGAGAGCATCAAGGAAAATGATATTGGCCCCGCTTCAGGGCACATGCGGTGCTCCAGCTAAACCGTCAGACCCCGGAGACCCCCCGGGCCGCCGTGACCGCAGTACGGGGCCCAGGCTTCTGCGCTGCTCCGACACCGTTCGGAGACGACACTCAAGCCCCAAGGCGCCTCAGTCCAGGATGTAAAACAGAACTTGTCCCCATGACACAAAACATAACTAATGATGAACAAGATACATCACGGGAGACACTGTGTAATGCTGATCTTTCAGTAACTCCTCTCCAAAGGAAGACCGGCTTCAAATGAAAATACGAAGTGTGCCCATTTGAAAAATTCCCCTAGTGTGGTAACCAGGTCTTATTCAATAATTAGCTGGACCCAAACCCTTCTGTGCCCATTTTTCTTGTAGTGCTGGCAGCAAATTGATAACCCCGGGCAAATTTTAATTAGCACCCTTTAAAAATAGCTTGCTAAAGTAGTCAACTATGAAATACCTCATCGAAATGATTAAGTTCAAATTGCATTTCCAATCCATCACCCGTCGTTGCTGCGTGAACACACCGCCACCCCAGGGTTGTCAGTGACAACGTTTGCCGGCCCGCGTGTAACACGCAGCGCCGCTCGCAGCAAGTGCCCAGCCGGCCCCGCTCCCGCCGCTGCGCCAGGCGGCCCGCCGCCCCTGGGCATGGACGTTTGTTAGCAAAACAGCCCCGGCTCCGCCCTTCACCCGCTGGGGATGGAAGGCAGCGATAAGCCGCCTCCTGTCCACATATGTCACGTGTGTTGCTCAACATAGGGGAAGCCAGGACCTGCTCCAGTGAGGACTTGCTGGTGGCCCTGCGTGACCGCCGCGCTGGTCATGGAGGCCCGCTCCTTTCTCACACCCCTCACACCAACGCGGTATTTCTGAAGCATCTATTGTTTAGCAAGTGTGGTCATATGATCTTATTAATTTCAGAGTAAGACTAGAATTGGGTAGCTTTAACTCCAAAACACAGGTGAGCATGTGGAGCGCAGGAAGGCTTAACGCGCTCGCCCGGAGGCACAGCCCGCGCCGGAGGGTCGCCGGCCTGCCCATCATCTGCCACCGCCTAGGGCCACGGTCATCAGCTTCTGCCTCTGGCTCCCGGCCTCCTCACTTGTTTCCTTGTCTCAGGCTTTGTCTCCCCCTAATCATGCCCCTCACACTGCAGAGACAGGGATCTTCTCGAAATGCAAATCCTCTCCGTCAACTTGCATGCATGGCCGACCCCGGACGGGACCCGGCTAAGGTGCCAGGCCACCCTGAAGGGCCCCGGAGGATCTGCCCTCTGCCTCCCTCTCCCCTCTGCACACCGCTCCGCAGCCACACTGACGCCTTCCAGTTCCCTGAACTCTGCTCGCTCCCTCCAGGCCCTGCCGCAAGCTGCCGCCCCTGCCTGCGGCCCAGCCCCGGCCCCTTGCATGTCCACTAGGCTTGTCACCGGGCGTTCCAGGGGCCACTGTGGAATCCACACCCCAGGCACTTTGCCTGAGGTCTGCCCTGGCCTCTCCCAGTGGACAGCAACATGAAAACATGTTTTGAAATCATTTGGTTGCTTAGGGGAACTAAGGACTGACGTGAACACAGCAGCGTTTGTGGTGTGGATGTAGCGCTCAGGGCCTATACCCAGAGTTCCGTCTGTCTGCACAGAGGGCCACTTGTTAATGAAATAAGCCTCGAGCAAAGTCTGGGTCTTCAAGCTCTGAGGCCATGCAAGGCAGTAAATTCTGACATTTGTCTTGGCAATATTTTTTTCCCCTGACATATCTCCTTGGGCAAGGGAAACAAAAGAAAAAAATGAACAATTGCGACTCCATCACACTAAAGAGTTTTTGCACAGCAAAGGAATCCATTAACAAAACAAAAAGACAATCCACTAAATGGGAGAAAAAGTTGCCAATGATACATTCAATAAGAAGTTGTTATCCAAAATTTATAAAGGAATCACAGAACCCAACACCAAAAACATAATGCAATTTTAAAAAATGGTCAAGGACCTAAATAGACACTTCTCTACAGAGGACATACAGATGGTCCATAGATGTACGAAAAGATGCCCAACATCACTCATCAGGGAAATGCAAATTATAACCACACTGAGATACCACCTCACCCCTTTCAGAATGGCTACCATCAGTAAATCAACAAGCAAGTGCTGGCGAGGCTGTGGAGAAAAGGGACCCCTCGTGCACAGCTGGTGGGAACGCAGGCTGGTGCAGCCCCTGTGGAAAGCAGTATGGAGGGTCCTCAAAAAATTAAAAACAGAACTACCATTGACCCAGCAGTTCTGCTTCTGGGTATATATCCCAAGAAACACAAAACACTAATTCAAAAGAATATATGCAGCCCTATGTTTATTGCAGTGTTGTTTACAACAGCAAGGATATGGAAGCAGCCCAAGTGCCCATCAACAGAGGAGTGGCTTAAAAAACTGTGGTACATTTACACAATGGACTACTACTTGGCCATAAAAAAGAAAGAAATTTTACCATTTGCAACAACATGGATAGACCTAGAGGGTATTATGCTAAGTGAAATAGGTCAGACAGAGAAAGAGAAATACTGTATGATTTTACATATAGGTGGAATCTAAAGAACAAAATGAACCAAACAGAAACAGACTTATAGACACAGAGGACATTTTGATGGTTGCCAGCGGTGGGGGCTAGAGGAGGTTGGATAGAAATGTTGAAGGGATTAAGAGAGCAGATTGGTAGCCACAAAATTGTCAGAGGGATGTAAAGTACAGCTTAGAGAACAACGTCAAGACCACTGTAAGAACTACGTATGGTGCTGGGCGGGTCCCAGAGTTATTGGGGGATAACGCTATAAATTACATAATTGTCTAACCACTGACAATATTGACCTGAAATATTGAATGCCAGCTGCCATTGAAAAATAAATAGAAATGGAGAAATTTTCCTCACCTTAAGATTTTTTAAAAATAAAGTAATGAAAAGCATTCTCCAGAGCTATGTATGGCCTTGCACAGCCTCAGGGCTGGAAGGAGCCCTAGAAGGTACTGGCTTTGTTCAAGGCTCGTCTGATTAATGAGCGACCCTCTGTGCAGACAGACAAGACCCCATGTACACACCCTGAGCTTTACATCCATCTCACAAACACTGCTGTGTTCACGTAAGTCCTTTGTTCCCCTAAGCAACCAAACAATTTCAGAATATTTTTCCAGGCATCCAAACCAACAGTTGACTAATAGCACATCTTACTTGTTCACTATTGAAATGTTGGAGAATTTTCTCCAGCAGGTGGCGACCAAGACTGACTCAAACACAGTGTGTCGCTCTCCCTGCCCTGATCAATGAAACAGGAATAGCTTTGAGATCAAATGGCAACAGTACCAAAAACTTCGCAACCATTTTTGACTAAAATGCCACATTTTATCCCTGGCTTCTGGATTCTCCAGTTCTCACAAAGACCAGTGCTCTCAGGAAGCACTCCAACTTAATGGCCTTTTGAAATACATGTTATTTATCAGACTGTGAATTACCAGAAATTGTAAGTTGTGCCATGAATCTGGTAACTCTTATTTTTTCCCTTCCAACTAAAAGGCCCGTATTATTAGTTCATCTATTCACTCAGCTACAAGAGGAGGCTATACTCAGCCCACAGGAAGGGCGTACCTCGAGTTCCCAGCTTGGGTGATAGAGCAGGCTGTGCCACTGGACCCTACAGGACACCTACGACATGAGGCCACCCTATCAAGACATGGAGTCAAAGTAGCTCTACCTAAAACATAGAAACACACACAGGGAGGCTGCCAAAATGAGGAGACACAGAAACATGGCCCAAATGAAAGAATAGATCAAAACTCCAGAAAAAGAGCTAAACGAAATGGAAATAAGGAATCTATCAGATGCAGAATTCAAAACACTGGTTATAACAATGCTCAAGGAACTTAGTGAGGACCTAAGCAGCATAAGAAGGATCCAGTCAGAAATGAAGGATACACCAATTGAAATAAAGAACAATTTACAGGGAAACAACAGTAGGATGGATGAAGCCAAGAATCAAATCAATGATTTGGAACATAAGGAAGCAAAAAGCAACCATTCAGAATGAGAAGAAAAAAGCCAAAAAAAAAAAAAAAAATTGAGGATAGTATAAGCAGCTTCCAGGAAACTTCAAGAGGTCCAACATTCACATTATATGGGTGCCAGAAGGAGAAGAGAAAGAGCAAGAAGTTGGAAATCTATTTGAAAAAATAATGAAAGAAAACCTTCCCAATTTGGTGAAGGAAATAGGCATGGAGGTCTAGGAAGCACAGAGAGTCCCAAACAAGATGGACCCAAAGAGGCTCACTCCAAGACACATCCTAATTAAAATGCCAAAAGTTAAAGATAAAGAAAAGAAGAGAAAAGTTAGTTAC